GCACGTGATGGACATCTTCGAAACCGACGGTCCAACTGTCGTTATGCATGCAAAATAACAGGCTGATTGCGTACAGGACGTATTCTAGATACAGATAAGACCATAAGTAAGCATATAACATGAATTGAATTCATAGGTTGGCGGCTGACCAATCAGCACATCGCGGCTCTAATCACGGGCTAGTGACCTTGAACGCTGGCTTACCACGCAAATATTGCGTTATGTCCACTACGGGTAGTTTGCAGTGCTCTCAAACAATTACGGTACTATCACAGGAAACATATAACGAGTTGGACATGATGTTACCAGGCGATGAAACCTGTTCATATAGTTTTGTCATGCAAGGTGCGTCCTCTCCTGCCTCTGTCATGACAACGGACGCAGGGGGTGGAGTGGGGAAGAGAGTGCGATACCTACAGAGAAAGTCAAATCTCACTATAATCTTATTCTCGCACAAGCCGAAACTATTCATAATTGCAAGTTGTTCCCAGTAGGACACTGGACCTAGTCCTCGAACGAGCTTACTAGCTCGCCGTCTTACTTCTATAGAGAGCAGCATTGTTTTCCACAGCCCGTGATCTCTACACTTCCTCCTCTTCTTCAATCGGAATATGATAAGGTCATTATACCCACCCTGTATTACGCGCAAACCTCACCGGACCTGGTTATATGTGTGTCTTAGATGGCTGCCAGTGTCATGTATTTCAGTTTGAAGCATGTGGAGTTAACGTCAGTTGAACGCTGAATGACCGCTTTTTCGTGACCCAAACTGTACCCATTAGACCTTTTGTCATACCTCGCCGACAATGTCTCCCAAGTGTCTAACATCAGAGCAGATATTGTAAGATCCTCCTCCTCCTCCTCCTCCTCAACGATAACACGTGCTGAAACAATACCGCGACTAGCTGGACATGCGCGTGGGGAACTCGGTCAAGGGTCAGCGGGTCACTGGCAGCCGTCTATGTTTAGGCAGTGGGCACATAAACAAGGGAGGGGACAACATTGTTGGCTGTCAGGTGCATTTTTCTGTTGGAATGGCTTCTCAAGCTAGATTTGTGCCGCTTCACTCTCTTTGTGTCAATCCAACAAGGAGAACAACGAACAAGGAAGGGAAGTCATTTATTGTGTCCCGTGAATGGGACTATATGATAAGGAAGGTTATAGATGGGGCCAATCAAATTGTGTCCGCATGCGCCTAGCGGCTCGATTGACCATCTGGCGGCCTCTGCCTTGTCCGTCTCATTTGACCTCGGCTCCTTCATGCGCGCGCCCTTTGCCTGTGGGCGAACCGATACCGTGACCTGAGAGAGAGGGGGAGGTTGATTACGTTGGTTTTGGTATCAGCCGGATGGATGGACAGGATTGACACACCAATAAGTCTCCCCCACATACTGTCTGTCTGTCCGTCTGTCTGACCCACATACTAGGACCTTCAAAGGTCCACCGCAAGTACGTCATTGGTCCGGAATGGGCACCCTTTTGAACCAGTCTTGCAAGAGGAACATTCAGCACATTTGATACACGCCGGAATCCCCGTCAGACTTCGTTTTTTTTTCCCGAGCACCCACTGTCAATCACAAAATAAGTGAATATCCAAAGACTAAAGGCCTTTACTACTCTTGTGCAGGATTTTTGGCCCTTCCCATCAATGAGTGTTGTGTACTGCTTTTCGTGTTCCCCCTCTCCGCAATGCTTTACCAAATCTCTCGCCCCTCCCTAATTCATGTCTTATTGTGGTTCATCCTAGCGTTTTCTCGAACTACATCTTTGAGCATCTGGACAATGAAGCACGCCTTTTGATGGCCTTCTTCCTGATTGCACCCGTGCTGGGTACTTTGAACCTCGGGTGTCAGACTCAAGTCCATCAGGTTCGTCTGCGTTATTGATCCTTTAAAAACATGCATGTCTTTTATTTTAGTTCGGTATATTAAGGTTACTAGACAATGCCTTTGAAGACCCTGTTGAAAACTGTATGCAAATACGCCCAACATAAAATGCATAAAATAACTACGTTACTTTAGTTGACCCAATTGTGAAAAAGCTCACGGGATTCGAACCCGCATAGGAGAGTGGCCTTTTAGCCAAGCCAACGCTCT